AGAAAAAGAAATCCCGCTCGCTCTTACCGCACGTGTTAATTACCTTTGTGACGATCAAACTTTAAGAGATTGGCGTCCTGAGGCCGCGAGCTCTGCATGAAAGGACTGCAGCAAAAATTGGAGTCCCTCTGAGATATCGAATGCCCTTCGAGGAAGAGAGTTCGCAGTCCCTCGAAACGTTTGCTTCAGCGGCCAGGGACCACTAAGGTGCACTGACAGTGTCAATATCAGATAGGAAACTCCGGCAGAAGGGGCTCTGAACCAGGATAGCCTCCGTCAGCAGCCGATCAGTTTGAAGACGCTCAGGCGCCCGGCTAACGAACAGCAACGCGTCATCTGCGGGGCGTATTGAGACAATTTGACAACTGAAAAGTGACGGGGCGCCTATCGAAGACTGCCGTGCAATGTAAATCTGCGGCTGTTGATCCGTAGTTTTATTTTTGTGGCGCAAATTTGAGAAACTCAGATTTTCGTGTAGGTTGGCAGATCAGATTGTAATAAATTCTATGCCGATAGACTTCTTAACATTTGCTGCTAAAATGTGCGGCTGTCCTCTGTATCCGTCTCTTTTATCACGGCACACAAACAAAAAATCAGTTCGATTTTCGATGGTAGGCGGTTGCCATAATCACTTTGGCCTAACCCTCTAGTGCCATCTGCCCCTAAGGATCTCCTATGACTGGTCATACCACACTATTGCACGCCATCACTCAGCAGAAAGCATAGTACAAGCCAGCAAGGAGAGGAGCAACTCGAGCCATGTTTTGCTTCTGTCAAGGGTGTTGCAGTAAACTAGCTTATGGCCTGGTTTTTCTTCATGTGCAAGCCCAGCACAACGCTGTTACAGCAGGTCCGTAGTTCACGTATTATTGAATATGAGTACTTTGGTTTAGTAGATTTTTGCCGAGACCCGTTAAGTAAATTCTGTATGCGGTACCCGATATAGGCACGAGGGCAAAGTACATGAGTTTGAGATATATTCCGGAAGAAGACAATGATGATCGCCTTGGTCATGATTACGTTGTAGGTGAATGCAAATGGCTCTGTATGCCGGCGTCATATCGACACATCAATCGATCGAGTTCCCATCCCAGGACCAGATTTCAATTAACTTTCGCCTTGTCTTGCTTCCGGCATGAACCATTATCTCGTCGGCTGCGAAATTAAACGCATGGCCTGTTTCGTGGCTGCGGGCAACTATTGGCCGCATTGGGACATTTGGTTTGTGAATCTCTGACAGACCAATGAATCGGGCTAGAGCGATGTCAGTTACTTCCATTGATCGTTGTTCACTGCATACACCCTATCAGTGTAGTTTTTTTCCCGCTGTTGTCACGCCTTCTGGTGTGATGGATTGCTGAATCAGTT